ACGACCAAAGGATTTGGAAGGATTCGTTGCCAACATCTTCGATATTTCACTTTTAACATGAACAGCCTTGTAGCCATGGCAGCTTCTGTCCCATGTTGAGTGAATGTCCTGTCGTGCCCATTGGTGAAGCGATGACCTGAGTCAATCACCATCTCGTCTAACCGGGAGAGAGATCCAGGCTGCAAGTAGTTGCAACGCCAGAGAATGTACAAGTAAATTGGAGGAAGAAACCCCCATGTTAAGCATGGAAAGGTAGCACATAGAGCAATAGGTCCAGAAGGTGGTCTGTGAGTATCTGCAGCTCTACATGATATAAACAGTAACACTGCAGACCGCAGCCCCTCCACCACCTCTCTCCCCGCCATCCAATCTGTCCTCCGCAGATAATGGAGTTAGTTAGAGGACACGACCTTGAGATAAAACATGGGGAGCTGGGAATGTGAATCACAAGACCCTCACTTTAAATGTGGGCAGCTAATCAGAGTAACTTTGAAGCAATAAAGCGAAAGAGGTGCCCAATCATATATAGGTATATGTTTAAGATTTTTAAATAAAAACAAATACTAATGATCAAAATGACCATTAGGTACACATATCACTATGCTTAGGTACATCCAAACAAGATTGGGTTCCATGGAAGTCTCCCTTCCTGTGGATCTGCACTTTTCTCCATTCGTTCAATCAGTAAAGCGTCACATTGATTAGAAAAAAAACGCTATTGATTGCTCTGGACTGCAAATTGAAGGGCAACAAGGAGAGGAGCTAAAGGCGGGTAGATTGGTTGAACCAATTGCCCTTTACCTGCACTTTCCCATCAGTCATTCCCCACTACAACAACTACAGCAACCAATTACATTTGGATAGCGCCATTCATTCACGTCAAGAGGACATCCCAAGGCAGTTGGACAGTCAGGGATTTGGACTTGAGCTGGGGATTGGCATCAGAAGGGGTGGAAGTCAGGGAGAGTAAGGGTAGAAGGGTGGTCGAAGTTTGAGATCGAACACACAACACAAGACAATCCTTGAAGATTTGTTCCTAATGTACTGAAAGGGTTATGTCCCAAGGCCTGTATTTGTGCACCTTGTAGAGAGGCCTAAATGGGATCTCCGATGTCATTTAGCTGGGCTTTGGCCAAACTCGTGCCACAAATCGTAGCTTCAGGCAGCTTCCTTGCATATATATCTAAGGTTAGGTTCTCATTCGCCTAAACGTTAGATTCTTTGTAGAGTGTGAAATAAATAATATTCAATTAAAACTAAGAAACGAACATTAAAACATTGAAAAAAACAAAGAAACATCACTCTGCAGCTACCCGCTCTCAAGCAATGAACTGCGTAAAAAAAAAGGTTAAAAATTATTTTATTTTAATAAATAAAACGAGCACAGGACAGGGGGAAAGAGGCACTTTGCCGCTTAAGCGTGCACGCCGCACCAAAAAACATCAAAATTTCATATTTACACAGGATAAAGCACATGTTTTCCACCAAACTAATCACAAGTATATTTTATTTCTTTTAAAAAAAACCTACGTTTCTACTGAGCTCTACAGAATCTCCAAAATCCCTGAATTTGTATCGAATCACGAGGGCTGTTCAAGGACACAAATATACATATAGTAGAATGCAACAATGCAAACCCCATTCTTGACACCAAAAACGATCTCTTGGTTAAAAGCATATTTTAAAAAATAGATAGCTTTCCTCGTTACAGTTCTCTCGAGTCTCCTACTAAAAAAAAAAGGATATTTTTAAAGCACAGTTTGGCGAGGAATCAATCAACACAGTCAGCGCTCTGAAAAGCAACGTATTTCACCTCCTGCAAATCAGAAGCCAACTTATGAAAATTAAAAATACTATATTTCTTGAGAAACCCAATGTGCTGGGTCACTTCACGAGCAGCTGGAACTTAACAAACAGAAAAAAAAAGAACGTAAAGTCCTTTTTTTACACATAAAAAAAACTCCAATGCCTTCCCAGTAGGGGAAAAACCAGACATTTCAATGTTAATTAGTTTGGAGCTGCTCATTTAAAGGCTCCCGTCTTACTATCCAATAAATACGGCGGTGGATGTCTGCAAGCTGCGTGCAGCAGATTCTAACCAATTTCCTGTAACCAAAGATACAGCAATGAATGCTGAAACTCCCAAAAGGTTTCACTGCTGTTTTCAAGGTTAAAAAAAAGTCAAACTGATACCTTGGCATAAACAGAACCTGAGCAGCATTTATCAATAACACAGCGGTGTTTCGTGCTTGTATTGAAAACCTTTTTAGGGGGAGGCTAAAGTTTAATCGCAGACATAAAGTCTGCGCAGAAGCTCTTTATCTGCCTCTTGTGCCTCTTCCCTCCTTTCGTTTTGGGCCATTTCATTGTAATCAGCGAATCCTTCCTCTTGCCAGATGGGAAATGTTAAGAACCGTTATCTCTCCGCCAGTGTGTGGGAATTATCCCACTCAGCAGCTCCTGTTACCCCGCGAAAGCCAAAGCCCTACAGGGCGAACATCCCTGGAAAAGCAGCGGGAACGCTTGCCAGACAGTACGCCAAGCTTTGGGCTGTTTTACCTGGCTCACCTCTACTGCACGTACTTGCACAAGCCAAGGCTCTCGTCAACCAACACTCCCCCAGGAGTTGGTAGGTGGGATGCACCCCTCCAGGGAGAGAGTGCGCATTCCATTTCCGGACACAGGGAAAACGTCCTGGATACATGTGAATGAGTTCTGCGTTCAGCCCCACGCTAAAGTGACGCAGAGCAGCAGGAAGCAGATCAACACCCACAAAGCCCCTTCCCCACGTCTGGCGAGACTGGAGAGGAGAGAGAGCTTGGCCGAGGGCCAGTCTCCCCGTCTGTGGTCGGGCAGCCACCTGTTAGCAGGAAAAGAAGCAAGAGGCGAGGTTAGTGGCAGCTTCGATTTGGAACACGGGACTGAAATCCTTTCAAGGGCAGCGGGTATACCCGGCTCAGAACGTTCCCGGGAGGGCCGAGTGTTTGGGCTTTCGTTACTGGGGCCAGAGCGGGTCAGCCGAACCCACAGAAACAGCTCGCGGCTCTCAGCCCAAACTAATGAGGCTTCGATCGCGGAGAAGCCTCAGATTGGTTCGGGTTTAAAGCAAGCGCAGAATACAGATTAGTGAGTTTAATCTCAATGGGGCGGGTGGTGGGGGGGGAGAGGAGGGGAGGGTGGCTTGTTTCCAAGTCAGTAAAGGCACCAGTTGATGAATAAATACTCTTTTGTCCGGGTACAGAACGATACGACTTCCATTTCCACGCTTCATTCGCAGTAGGAAAGTATCCAGACGTTTAACAGCTGCAATTACCCTGACAGCTGCTGGTAAAACTGGCACCTGGTTCCGGGAGGTAAGAAAAGTGCAGATGGTATGTTGCAAACCGCATTGCAGTGCAACAAGTGACTACAGCTTGGAGGTCCTTGTCACGGAGTACAAGATGGTGGGCTGCGAAGAGGAAATGGAAAGGGAAGGGTGGGGACTATTAAAAGAAAATATATTTTACGGTTTCTGGAGTTAATTAACCTATTTTGAGTTGTGCTTAACATTGCTCCGCTGATAGCGCAGGAACCCATGGGCGCTTGATTAAAACAGAACGAACATCCTGAGGTACAGGTACGTGGAAGGGTGCACGTAGGGTGTTAGACGCTGGTGGAAAGCAGGGAACAGGATTGAACCCCACGATATCCCTGTGCACAGGCAAAATATTTCCATCCGGCGCATTCCAAGACATCGCGGGGCAGAAGAAGCCATTGTGTGGGTGCGTGCCCACTTGTGCATCAAGTCACTGGGTCATCAGGGATTTCTACCTCGCCAGAGTAAAGGCGAAACCACAGGGGAGCAGAGCTGAAGTTGTCTCACACTCACGATGCCAGACGAGCAGTCCACATGTGGGATTATGAGTAATGGATACTAAAGACCACTTGTGAAGGAAATGAACCATTCCGTCCCCTTTCAGTGGATCGAGAGAAGTGGAGAGAGATATACGAGTGGCCTCTGGAGTTATATTTATTGGGAGCAGATTCCATTTCTTAGTGCAAGGGATTGGTGGGGAGCGAGTGCTGCTTTTATAAGACAAAACAACTTGACTTAGTGGCTAATCAATGATACAACCTGTGGGTGCTGGTGTCGCTACTGTTTATATTGGGGTGGGAGCGAGGAACGGAGAGATAGATACCACACTGTTGGAGCGACAGGCAAACCCAACTGGCCAGCTCGTCAACGTGCAAGTAGTTGTTTGAAAGGCTGCTGGGATAGTTGGTGCAAGTTACGGTTAGTCAGTGGAGTGAAAAGGCTTGACCTCTGATAGGTTCACTGCTCGCTGCGCTGGTGGATAAGAGAAGGAGATGGCGCTGTCTATAGGAAAGAAAAATTGGTAGTGGCACAGAATCGGATATACCCAGCTGGTACAGTCCACAGAACAACGTCACCCTTTAGCAGGGAGTTTAGACAGAGGGGCTCACTCCAGCCAGCGGAGCCCTCATCACACCATGACTGGAATTCTATAAAATTAGCCAGATTCATTGACTGTCTTGGACATCTTCACTGCAACACAGTGAGCTGATCGTATCGCAATGGGGCTTTTGAAAGGATGATGGTAATTCAGGCTCTGTTCAATTCAAGCCCTGCTATGTGTCAGGACTTTCCTCTGAGAGGCACACATTCATCCCAAGTGATTCCACTGTGTCGAATTGTGATTGTCTTCAACTCCCGTTTCCGTCTCTCTGAAAAATGGGAGTACAAACTGACTGACGCTCCTATCGCTGGACACAACATAGCAAGTGATGAAAACAGTGAGGGCCATCCATTTCATTAAGAATATAAAAGATCCTGGTTTATGTTTTGTATTTTACATTCCAACGATGGAACTTTTTTTTCAATATATACATATATTTACGTACTATATATATATATATAAAAACTTCCATCTTTAGTTTAAATCAATTGTATCTCAAAGAAAGGACACTTGAGTTGTAAGTTGGTTTGTAAAGCTGTGCAGGATTAAAAAATATAATCAGGTTACAATTCCAAATCTGCCGATTCTGAAGAGGATTTCAGTGGAACACAATCAAATCCCTCTGACGTTCTCTGAAATATAAAGAAATCAGATTAAAAAAATTAAATCACCGGCCAAAGAACAGCTTTCCCCTTTTACAACATATGCAAGTTAAACCCGTTCACGAATGGTCACAAAAAAAANCTTCCAAATCTTTTATTTACAACAAAAATAATAATTTTGTCACTCGTTTGTGGGATACAAATTGACTGCTGTGTTTCGCCCACAAAGTATGCAGTCAATTCACTTTACAGTATACTCTGTGAAGCGCTTTGAGATGTCTCCACAATGTGATAAGGCACTGTATCAAATGCAAGGATTATTATAAGGGCTATTGTTATTATCCCCACAGTTTTCTGAAAATAATAAGGAGTGGGTCAGCCAAAGAGCTACAAAAATGAGAGTCTCAGAGTGCAGCGATGTTGCAATGGCTGCTCGCAGCCTCGCTGAACTAGATTTTCCTTAAAAGGATCACAAGATAATGCTTTTAACAAGGTCGGTGCTTCGGAGTATTTGAGTAAACATTGTCCGGGCCCTATAAATGTTAACAAAATCCTTTTCCCATCACTGAACAATCGTGAGAAAGTGACCCGCCCCCCACCCTACATGAGTCCTCCAAGAGAGACGTTCCCTTTCTGACTCTCTGCGAGATGTGGTTGGGCCACATTCACAATCTGGAACGAAACCCCGATTCAGATTTCGAGACGGGTCGCAGCAAGGTGTGGTGTTTCAGGAGGAGCGTTTAAAGGCACCTGGAGCACACAAGCCGGGGGCTGATGGCGGGGCATCAGATTCGTTGGCCCTATCTCCTGTTCTGAGCTTTGCTGCTATCGGGAAGCCACAGAGCAGAGACCTGCCACGTAAGGGCAAAATTGCACAGTTGCTTTGCACGGCTCCTTTCAAGAGTGGTGTCCGAGTGGCACTGGCAGAGGCTTGTGAAGCAGGTTGCCTGACCGCCCACCCCGTCCGCTACAGAAGATGAAGTGATTTCAACCGCAAATAAAGCATTAATCTTTTTTGCAGGTTTAGACCCCGACGTGTGAAGCACAGTCACAACACATTACAGTCATATCCTGCAGAGGCCTTTGAGAAACTATGTCAATGCAATAAGGCAGTAAATCAAATGCAAAGATTATTATTATTATTATTATTGATCTTACAGATAAACAATTGCTTTTCTGACTGCACTGACGGAATACCAAATCTTTCCCTTTTGAAGAAACGGAAACGAGATGGTGAGAGAGCAGAGGTATGGTACTTTAGCAATGCGAGTTCACTTCAGTGGGAAACACTGGGACCCATCAGATATGTAGTTATTAGAATAATAAACAAAACACGGGAGGCTCTCATAAATCTTTGGTCCCAGTTGTCTGTAGGAAATAACCGCATTGCGTGCATGCATGTGTGTGGTCAGCTAAGCTCTGCTGTACACACGCTACATAAGGATAAAAAGCAACCTTGAAACAGTCAACTTAAACACAGAGAGTGTTTATCAACAGGGGACGTCATCAAACATATTTCGATGCGCGTCCCCCAAACCAACCTAAATACACCATAACAATTACCGATGGGCGCTAAGGAAAATTCACCCCACGTTGGCATTGCTACTTATACTCAATCGCGGTTCATTGTTAGCTCGAGCTCTTTTTGTGGTCGGATTTTAGTTTCTTTCCCAATCTCTTGCTCACCATTTCTATCTAAGTGGAAGACACTGGGCCTCAGTCTAAAATTGTGTTTCCCAGTGCAAAACATTCTTCTATATCGGGATCGTGTGCGTATGCGGGCTAAAAAGAAAAAAAGAAATGCAGGCAGAACAAATGTAAAAGCACGCACCGACAGTGAGAAACACAAACAACAACAACACAACCACAAATTACATTCGTGCAGCGCTTTTCACGTCGGAAACACGTCCCAAAGCACTGGACGATGAAGGGTTGGCACCCGAGCTGGGGGTTGGAATCAACATAGGGTAAGGTAGAACGGTTTTCTACGAGTCTTAACAGCAACGTACGGCAAACTGGCTTCAAAGTTAAAGATGTATTAAAGAATTTGCCAATTTCCGGACACTCTGAAATGTTTCCATCAATAGAGTAAATTTAGTCCCAAGTGGAACTTCTTCTCAAAAACACTCCTGTTAATTTTTATCGCGTCTGCCTCACTGAAAGTTGTACCCTCAGTTACACAGACACTGAATTTTTTTCTGCAATCTGTAAAGGGGCAAAATAATCTGGGACACTGCAGGTTTTATCACATGAATTATGTGTCCACGTGCTGCGTCATAACACTGGATACTGGGAACTATCACACGCTGATTGATAAGATAGCAATCTTTTCATTGCGCGTTTATAATAGGAAATCTCACTGTAAACACGTCATAAAAAGACTGCTGTTTCAGTGACCGCACATCTGTAGTTGGATAGTCTAACCATAGGAATCCTTTGGTCAAGGGCACCTGCACCAACAAAACAGTCAACAAAGAGGCAAACGAAAGAAAGATCCTAAAATGATTTAATTTATCATTTTGTTCAATACTTTTCATCCACAAAATAAGCAAATCTGTCTGTATAATCTAACTAGAGCCTCATCGTTACCCATCACATTCATTATAGAACTTACTTTAGTGGTAAATGACTTGATCTTTCCGAACAGCGATTTCTTACTCATAAAAATAAGGTCATCTTCCATGTCTTCGCCTTCCATTATAGCACAGCTATCCACTGCCGGCAGCTCACCGTCCTTGACATTAGAGTTCATCACCAACTTGCAGTACTTGTACTCCAACCTAAACACAATCCAAGTGTAAACGTGGAGCGTACACAAGAGTCAGGCTTTGCATGGCTTTTAAACATCGACACCAGGGCACTCCACACTGTAAGGGTTTCACATTGTGACTTTAAACAGGAATCTCCGCAAGTAAAACCTTCTAATAAAATCAGAGGCAAATATTTAAGACAAGCGAGCGATTGTAAACAACTGGTGATGTTTACGGCCCTGTAAAAAGTACTTCTGAGCGCTTGTGTGGAATAATATTTATTGGGGGTTCTGCACTTTATTTAGGGGCGGTCGAGTGTGCAGACAGTCTCCTGCAGGAAGGTCGTTTAAACGTCCGTCCCACTCACTGTTATGTCTGACGTTCTGAGGCTTGCGATTTGGTGCCCAAAAGGGCCTTCCTCCTTCGTCCAAACCAATCTTTGTGATCCACTGATCGCTCCTAAGTTATCCGCACAAAAACGATATACTCACTTCTGGTTTTTCTTATAGAAGTAACACGTCGTGGCCACCAATAAGCAAGCAGTGATGGAGCCCGTGATTATTCCAATTTTCAGGAAGAAGTCCACTGCCTTGCAAGTTTCCACCGTTTGCTCTGGCAGCTCAACCCCCCCTTTGCACAGCTTCGGTTCCCACCAGACAAAAGCAGTTTTCTGTGAGCAGAAGGGGTACGCCTCAGTTTCGCTGGCGAAATACACACGGTCACTCCACTTCGCAGTATGTTCCGCGAAGCGCTTGGAGACGTCTCGACTCCCCGGCGCATCCGCCCACAAACAGTCGCGGAATCGAGTGACCCAAATTATTATTCTTTCCTTTTGTATTTTTTTTACCTGGATTCCACTCACACAGGCCCCGACTATCTCGTGGTAATCCGTCGCTGAGCACAGCGGACAGGCCTCAGCTGTTTCCCACAGAAAGTGAAAGGTGCAACCATCACACGTCCCTTCTTGGCAGCCACTGTCGGTGGAGTAGATTTACGTCGAGGAGGCGCAAAGAGAGAAATCACTGGTTTTACTGGATTAATAATAATAATAATAATAATCCCCGCATTTGACACGGCGCCTTATATCACGCCTTCGAAACGTCTCAAAGCGCTTCACGGAACATACTGTGCATTTTGTGGGCGAAACCGCGGCAGCCAATTGCGCACGGCAGCGGCCCCCGCAAACAGTCGTGGATTGAGTGACCCAATTATTATTATTATTATTATTATTTTTGAAGGGATTATTGCCCCCCCCCGGAAAATCACTGAAACCTAAGATCTCTGGGGATCAGCAGCCTGGATCGTGTCCAAACAGCAACTGATCTCTTTTCCTACTGTGGCAGCCGGGGGCCTTAACAACGGGTAACTTCAAATGTTGCTCAATCGACCAACACCGTTTTTAAATTAAAAATATCTGCGAGGATTTCTGTTTGAAATACCGTGCCTTCCACCCACTCACTCACTCACCCACCCAACCCCTCCCTCCCTCCCTCCCTCCCTCCCTCCCTTCTTCTCCAGATCTTTGTTACTGAAACGACAGCCCAGAGACCATCTCACGATAGAAAAAACAAGGGAGGGAGCAAAACAATTGACTCTGGGCATGTAGATATAAGGCACCTCGCAGTAAAAAGTCAGGAAACACAATGAATTATTAGAGCCAATAAAAAGAAAAAAAAAACCTTTAAATCCTTCTTTCTCGTGCATTTTCCTCAGTCGCCCCCCCCCCCCCCCCCCACCCCCACCGTGCACCCCACCCCGCTGTTTAATGCTCATCCTTCATCCTCGTTATTAAATCTATAAAAGTGACAAAAAAGACAAACAACTGGGTTTTTCACCCCAGGGCCCAAACGCGAGGCCGTGTGTGAACCGTCAGCTCCCCGCCTCGTGTGTCGAAGTGACATGAAGCATGTGTCCCAGTTGCTACGATACTCGGGAGGTAAATGGTAAATCTCCCCCCAACTCCCCCCCACCACCCACTAACGTGTAAGCTTCCCTTTCAACACTCCGGTGCTTTGACAGCTAATAACCGCAGCTGTGCCCGTTATTCGGAGGCGCCCTCTGACGTGACCGGTGACCTGTTACATCGTTATCGTGCCTCGCAAACAGTGAAAATGTACGTTTTATTGGAAGGGCTCCTGCCAGCGGTGTCCGTTGAAGCCTCCCCTCCACCCACCGTCCACAACTCCCCCCCCACCCGATCAATTTACTGCCCCATCCCTTGGAATTATTAATTACGCGAACGATGGTGAACTCTACCTTGGAACTGAAATGGTTCCTGACCCAGCGTACGCGGGATTGCACCTCAATCGTATCGTGGAAGCTCTGCCGGTTTTGCAGGTTTCAGTTGATTCACTGGACCTGTGCGATACAAACAAAGCCGCGATCCGTTTATATCCATCCTGTGGGGCCGTGTACCGGTGACCCAAATGAAATTTACGGCCTTAATCGTCATCCCTTGCATTCGATAATGGCGCCTCGTCCCAACTCACGCCGTTGCAATGCCTTGAAGCGCTTCACGGGATGTACTGTGAAGGGCGGTGACTTTTCGTAGGCGAGCCCGACCAGCCAATTTGCCCGCAGCAAATGCCCCCGCAAACAGCCCCAAAACGAACGACCGATTTTTATCAGGGGGTTGCTGGCTGGACTTCAGAAAAAACACCTTCCCTTTGTCAGTAGTGCCACGGCATCTTTAATGTCCACCCGTACAGGCAGACTGGACCTCGGTTTAACGTCTCATCCAAAGTACTTCACCTCTGACAATGCAACACTCCTCCAAAAACTATATTACTGGCCTCGACCAGGATATGGGGCTCTTTCAGTGAGTCGGTGTAAGTGTAACCAGCAAAAAAACTAATTCTGATCTTTGAGTAGCTGCAACAACACTGAGATATGTAGTTTGTTCAGGGTTTGTTCAGAGCCTGTGAGCTGAAACTGGTGGTCAACAGTTACAAGACAGGAGCAGACGGAGTTGGGGCAGAGGTACCAAAAGGCACTTGAGTGTGGAGGTCAAAACTGCCTTACTTGCTGGAGACAGCACAAGAGACTGAAGGATTTGCAAGGAAGCCAAGTGGAGAATGAATGTTTTTTTTTTGCTCTCTCTGAGGGATTATTACTCCCGGAAAGCGATCCGCCAATTGACTAACAAACGGGTGCCTACTTACTGCTTAGGTAACCAGAGGCGGTGTGTAGTAAAGGAAGCTTGCCTCAGGTTTCGCCCTGTCCCGCCCGGGAATCGAACCTGGGTCCTTTCAATTGCGAGGCGAGCTCGCTGACCACTACGCTACGGGATTCCACTGATGTTACCCGTGGGACTGCCCTCCAGTGCGAGGAACATAATAAACAGCCGAAGGTTCAAGTGAAACACCAGTTAAACAGCATTTACTACACACTTACTGTAGGTGCCCATTGTGAAATCTCACTTGATTTAATACAGTGCCAATTCCCTTTCTTTTTGTTTAACTATCCCGATGTAACTTATAGACTTGGAAAATGTCACTTCAACCGTTACAATCTTGAACCAGGTTTGGCGCTGAGATCTTAACTCAAAGTATTATACGGTGTGTGCGTGTGTTTCTTTTAAAAAAAAGCGACTTTAATTATTAATCGTTAAATAACCCATCACTCCTGTGGAAACATTATTCTTTGAACAAAACCATCACTGAATGAATGATCAAGCAGAGCTTTTTTTTTTGTTACCTGTAAAAATATATGATGTCGGGCAATGTTCTGCTGGCTTTACTAACAGGAAACAGATTGCCATCAGCAGTGAGATTTTCCAGAGTCGTTTCGCTCGTAACTCCTGCAAATAAAACAAAACATAAGAGACCCTGAACCTCGCACTTGGTGAAATTGCACAGTGGATCTTGTCCCCTTTCGTTTCGCCGCTCTCTCTCCGTGAACGAGACATGATCACGCTAGCGCACGGTTCGTTTAGTTGAAGCCCGGGTTTGTACCAACTGCGCAAAAATCGGCCGTTTCTTGTAAGTCTTACCCAACAACCGATCTGCCAGGTTAATGGGATGAGATGACGTGATGGTTCGAAATCCCCTCACGTCCGTAGGTACAAGGGTGGATTGGCAGATGTAAGACGAGATAACTTCAGTGAAACCTTCGTATGCCTCTGTGATCCCTTCAACTGTTACGTTGTCCACACAAGTCGCCATCTTCTTTCCCTTTTTGGGGATGGGGAGGAGGGGAGGGGGGGTGTGGTGCAGAGAAAAAGTATTTGCGCAAGAGATGAAAGATTGACTTGTTGTAGAAAAGCATAAATTAGAGATCTTTCTGTGTTTGGCGTTCTCGGGGGCTTTCCCCTGTCCTTACCTGGAACCCACAAAGGCCAATGTTGAAGTAGTGGAAATATTTCACTCCTTTCGAGGTGAACCGGGGGGCACTTGTGACAGAAGACACGTTGCTGAGAAGGCTGAAATCATACTGTAAGGTCTTGCTCCCTTGGTGTTGAGCGAACTTGCAGTCGTTGTAGCAAAGAGTGTGGTTCTGCAGAAAGCAACGGGAAGGCATTTGTCACAGACGGCGATGTTTCGCCCCCAGAATATACACAGTCCCCAAATCCTCTTTACGCCGTATCCCGCGAAGCGCTTTGAGACGTCTCAACGACGTGATAAGGCGCTATATCAAATGCAACGATTATTATTATTATTATTATCCCACATTAATAATAACCCTCGCATTTGGCAGAGCGACTTTCATCAACGCATCTCCAAGTACTTCGCGTCATCATGGGTCACTCTGAGGGGCGACGTTTAACCTGAACAGATGAAGCCACTACAATCGGTGCCCAAAACGTCCCACAAACAATCAACAATGGGATGAATCCGTTTCTTTTTTGCGTGCAGGGTGGGGGGGGGTGGGGGTGGGGGGGAAGGGGGTGGTGGAGGTGAGCTAGGAATATTTGCCTGTTCTGGTGGGTGCAAAAGATCTCATGCCACTATTACCTCTTCTCCTCCCCACCTTCCCCCCTCAACCCGGCCCCCCCCTCCCCCACCTAAAAACAAAGACGCTTAGCAACTCGCATTTACACAGCGTCCCTCAGGCAGGAGGATAGCGTTCCAGAGCGCGGAGGGATAGAGGGAGAGAGTGTTCCAGAGAATAAGCGTTACCAAGCTGCTTCGGGTACCAGGACCGCACGGGACGCAAGATTCCTTTCCGTAATAATGGTGAGCTTTGAGGTAGGTATTCGGGGGACACTCCCGGCACTTGCTGGAGGCCTTGTCGATGTAATGTCCGAGCGGGCAGGCGACACAGGCCGAACCTGAGGCTGTGTCCTCCAGGGCGCATGGCCGACAGTACGAGGAGACGCCGTCCCTCACATTGGTCACGTTGATGGAGTAGATCTGGGCAACGTCCGTCGAGTAACTTTGTCCCTGAAACAAACAAACAAACTCTAGAACCTAAATATACACATGCGTACATGGTCAGCATTTTATTATACCACAAACACAAAGTCTGTACCACTGTTCGGATGGTGGAGGGTAGGGGTGGGGGTGGAGGGGAGGGGTGGGGTGGGGAGGCGAGTCCATGACCAGGGGACGTCAAGTGTAGGATAGCGACCAGGGATCCGGAAGAGAATTTAGGAACCACTTCACCCAGAGGGTGGAGAGAATGTGGAACTCGCTGCCTGAAATACACAGTCAATTCCCTTTACAGTATATTCTGTGAAGCGCTTTTGGACGTCTCGAAGATGTGCTAAGGCGCTATATCAAATGTAAGGAGTATTATTATTATTAACCCGATTGCACAGGTCACAGGCCGCCCAACGCAGGGAGAAAATTGAACAGTGAAATACCGTACCTGGTCAAAGGAAGTCGTGCGCTGAAATGCCCACACAAAAGCCAGGGACGAGTGTTTTTCAATGACGTACGTATAGGATTGCTTCCCTCGGCTGCCAGACCAGATCTCCGCAGTTCTTGCAGTCGCTCTGCTCGTGCCCTGAAATGGTGATTCTTTTTAAAAACATTTGTACCATTTTGTATTATTTTGTTATTTGTATTATTTTCGGGGCGCTGGAATTTTAGCCGAGTTTCTTTACTCCAAGGCTTTATATCAAAAGCAAGCATTATTCATTATTATTAGTAACAAAAAGGAGCTGTTGGTAATCAGTGACTCCCGTTCGATCAGCTTCACCCCACCACCACCACCTTGGGTGCTCAACCAGCCGTGTAAAGAGTTTTGAGGCACTCTACGAATGTGAAAGACGCGAAATAAATTGCATTGCATTTTATGCCGCACTAACCTTCAAGTCCACTCTTTCGTTTACCGCTTCCCCCGAGCAACACGGCAATCTAAATTACCAGCTGATGACGTTTTTCGTCAGTGAAATAGCGCTGGAGAACATGCTGGAATAACATCTGCACCCCCGGCAGCTCCCAAATAAAACTCGAGAGCTTAAATCATTACTGCCTCAGAATACAACACTGAAATTCTACTATCACTGAAATCCTCAAGATCTCAATCTTCTCTCCCATATTCTTCCCTTGCAGTTCAATCCATACTCTTTCTCTACACACACACACACACACCTCACCCCCAGTCTCTCTCTATGCTTTATTGATAGGGAATGAATAGCTTGATCCCAAACTGAGTATTCTGGCCAGTTTCCATAGCACACATGGCCTTCTCCGCCCGAAAACATTCCTCGCATGTTACATTCAATTGGAGCAATTGAAACCCGATTAAAACTCTACAAAGGGACACTGTCGGAGGTGTTTGTGGAGCATGATTTAAATTGCACCGATGTGACAGTGTGATTGATAAATGCAACCCACTTGTGAGTTACGAGATCACGCCAGCAGTATATAATCCCAATAATAATCCTTGCATTTGATGTAGCGCCTTACCATTTCTTTTTAAGACGTCTCAAAGCGCTTCACAGAATATACTGTAAAGTGACTTGACTGTGTATTTTGTGTCTCAAACCGTGGCACAGCGGAAACCCCATAACACTATCCTCTCCATCTCACAGAGCTACAAGTGGTGGAACAACACTTTACTATTGATTCGCGGGTCCTGAACGAATTCAAGTTCTACCGCCCTCCCCCTCACCCACCCCCCATTCGTACCCTCTAACAAACTTTACACGGGTTCCGAAATCAACGCCCAGCGCGGAAAAAGAAGTCAACGGAGCTCGCTCACCACCATGAAATACAGCTCGCAGTCCGCTGTGCACTTGGTCTCAAAGACAAAGGTGATCCGTGCGATCTCTGCGTTCTCTGTGTCCTTTACCACTGATTCTGGCGCCCTGTGTGAGACCAAGAATCACAGAAGACAAATCAAATTCTATACAAATAAATGTGATGCAGGAAAACCAGACAACAACCACCACCACCACCACCACCGCCACCACTACCACCACAACCTGCATTTATTTCGCGGCCTTCACTGTTCACCAGTTTTTAGATCTCGCCCCGATCGTTTATTTCCAACGTTCCCCGCCCTGACACGTCACACCCCTCAAAAACCTCGACCGCAGTGCAAAACGTACCGTTTGCGTGTGGAAAAAAAAAAGAGAAGAGAAATCTGTCCCGTTTCCACAAAACGACGGCGCAACTAAATCAAGTATTTTCACGCAACGCGCTGTTGTTTCAAGAATTTCCGAATCCTTTTGCCTTTTTTTTCCCCGCATCGCTCACAGTAAAATCAACTTCGCCCGCGTTCGGAAGTCGAAGGGTCTCGGGGATAAACTTTTTTCAACTGTGCTGCAACTGAGGCTGAGCCGTTGGTTAATTTATCAGAAGCGCTTGTTAACGGGGGGGGGTGGGGGGTGGGGGGCATCAGGGCAGCTGCCTTGGGGCAACGAACTGAGCTGACGTTCACGCGGAGTGCGCTCGGAAGGGCAGGGGTTCAGTCCTTCTCCAACAAGCCCGCGTCGAGTTCGACCGGTCCGCTTGACTGATTGTGCTTTAACGCTGCTCAAGTGGACCACCTGGTGGGATAACCGGGCAACAGCACTCAGCGCTTCAGCCGTCTTTGCTGGTAACCTTCTTGTGCTACGAGGACAGGGTTTGTTCGGGCTTAGATAGCGCGTAGCATTTTGTGGAGTCCTGTAGCTCAGTGGTTAGAGCACTCGCTTTGCAAGCGAGAGACCTGAGTTCAATTCCAGGCAGAGGGCGAAACCTTGGGCAAGTTTCCTTACTCCACACAGAGCCTAATAATAATCCCTCCAAAACCAAAAACAATAATAAATTGGTCATTTTCAATCTACGACTCTTTGTGGGACATTGTTGTGCGCAATTGGCTGCCGCGTTCGCCCACAAATATACAGTCAATTCACTTTACAGTGTGTTCTGTGAAGCGCTTTGGGACATCCTCCCGACGTGAAAAGTGCTATATCAAATGCAAGGATTATTTTTATTATTTTGTGGCCCTTTTTCTCACCTAAACCCAGGAACGGTCAATATCAGCATCAAGAAGTCGTTATCATTTCTCCCCACGGCACTCTGCACATGATCCCCGGCCACCTCCCATCCTGAAAGAAAACGTTTTAAAAGCAAACCCTCGCGTTCAATACAGCGCCTTTCACGATGGGGCGCGCGTCTCAAACGACAGCAACTTAATATCACGTGATAAAGGGCTTGACCCTGCTGGCCCTGGGCACCCGAGCTAGGGGTAGGAGCTGAAGTGGGTGGGGTGGGGGTGGAGAGCGTGGGAAGGTGGAGGCTGATCGAACAGAGCAAAACAAAACGAATCTCATCGCACGCACCTTTTATTTCTTTGCAATCTTCATCGATCCCATTGAAACAGGCAGTGTCCATGTTCTTTGGCAAACTATTCCACCACTTGTATTCGAATCCCAGCACCGGTTCGGTTCCGATGGCACATTTGGTGCACTCTGCGCCTACAAAATAAACGTGGAAGAGATGATCAAGCGGCTTAAGTGCGTTAAGTCGCTCACTCCTTTCTTCCAGCGCTGAAGCTTAGCAAGAACTACCCATTGTATAATTTGCCATACATGTCTGCTCGCTCTCCACTTTCGGTGCAGGTCAAAAATCAATTCAACAGGAGGGCTTCACCGTACAGTATATGCAGCGAAGCCCTTTGAGACCTCCCAATGCTGTGGGAAGGTCAATATCAAATGCAAGGATTATTATTGTTATTCAGTCATTGATTTTTATCGAACAATATCTCGATCGGTCACTGGAATCAGTCTTACAGGAAGACTCTCTGCAATCGTCCCCAAGTTGAATCGTATCCCTGTGGCAAGTGATCGATTATCAGTGATTAACGCCGATCAGCTTCACTCACTCTCTCCATCCATCGCGCTTGAACTTTCATTTGCACCTCAGAACACGAGGCTAGCTGCGTCATTATCCGCGGTCTCACACGATAACCTTACCGGTGGACCCGTCGGAGTAGAAGCCGTGAGGGCAAGGCTCACAGCCGGTCCCGTTAGCTTTGAAGAATCCCGGGTTACAAGGTCGACATGGCTCCTTTGTGCCCGACGCAGGGAGCTTTACAGCGTCTTTGGCATCTTCGTTGCAGAGTTTGGGCTCGATCCACTTGTACATGATCTGAGTCTGAAAAGACCGAACACAGCAGCGAGCAAGAAATAAATCATGACAACAGCAAAAGAAATATATACAAAGCTCACATCTGATATCACGAAGGAGTGGAGGGTGAATGGGGAGGGGGTGGGGGTTGGGGTCGGAGGGTGGCCGAAAAGCAAGATCAAAGAGGAAATTGGATCCCTGAACGTGTTAAATTTGAAGCATATTCTGTTTAAAAGGGAAAGTAAGAGCTGTCGGAGCCGGGGTTACCATGCCACCGCTGTCACACGGTGTGTGGGTGTTGAAATAGTCCTTCGCCGAGCACGGCTGACGTTTCTTGCACGAACCCGAGCCCGTCTCTGTTTGCAGGTCATTCACAAAAGAAAAAAAAGAAGGGCTTTGTCAATCCAAGTTTCTGTTAAAACAGGAAGCGAAACCCCCAAAAACCCTAAAATAAAAGACCCCCCCACCAAAAATCGTCTCCTCCGATTTCTGAGTGGCGCTCTCGCCGGCTACCTGAATATGAATCTTTGTCGCACGCTTGGCAAAACGTGGCTCCTCTGGGAGAGTACGTGTTCCTCGGGCACGGGTCACAGCGTGAGGAACCTGCTTTGTTGTTGCAGCTCCCCGGTTTGCAAGGGAAGCACTCAGATGTGTAGGCCACCCCTTGAAAACGAGCAGCAAAAAAAAAAGGAACAGGTTACAAAGGAAGACAAAAAAAGGGTTGGAAAGAAAGCAATCGGCCCGACAAATTCGAAGTCTGCGTTTGTTTTTTCCCCACCCCGCACCCCGAATACGCTACTTGCCCGTGATGAAAATGTTTTTGATGAGGGCTGGCTTCAGCGCTGTGTTGCCCAGTGGGAATCCTGTCGTTCTCCAGTACAAGACGTTGTTGCCGCGATTCAGGTGGACCTCGTAAGAGAAAGGAAACCCGTTGGAAAATCCCCAGTCAAGCACATAGGAGCTGGAAGAGACACGTGCACGCTCTGGATTGACGACGTGGCTCCCAGGTCAGCGGACACGTCAGGAATCCAAGACCCTAAGGTGATGGTTCACAGGCGTGTTTGGCTTATTAATGAGGCCCGAAGGGGTAGCCGTATTCTGAAGCATTAGTGTGGAGGCTGATCTTTAGGTATATGGTTGGGTGAAAGGCAACAGCCAATTGCTCACATTGGTGTCCCACAAACAGTCGTGGATTGAGTGACCAAATTATTATTTTTTTTTGATGGGTTTATTAGCCCCCGGAAAAGCGATCCGCGAATCGACTAACAACTGGGCTCCGACTTACTGCTGGATAAACAGAAGCGTGTGGAGTAAGGAAACTCGTCTGACATTTCACCCTGCCCGGGAATCGAACCCAGGTCCTCTCGCTTGCGAGCCATTACGTTACAGGACGCTACAATAGACATCAAAGCGAAATACAACAGGCAGAAAGAGCAAGAGATATGTGGAAACTAAAGGGAGTGAAAACGTACTGAAATTGTTTGCCAATCGTTCCTCTCAGTTCTTCTTATCCCTTTCGATTCAGAGTCCATAGCTTGACATTGATCATTCTGAACCTGAGGGAAAGAGACAGCTGTATTTAGCCACAGGGACGCGTGAGAGACCTTGGTTGGCTTATTCTCCTTTTCTTTAACAGTGATTTTTATGTCACTCAAAAACTGTTGCGGTACGTTCTTAAGAAAAGTCAAGGCTAAACATTTAGCGCCAGTTATGATCCAATGACACGCTGACATTGGGTGCTAGCCTCAGTGATGGTCTCTTAACCAAATACCTTCAAAATAGAGGAGTGGGAAGTGAAGGTGGTTGACTTGTGCAGATTCTGTTCTGAAAGGAGACCGCATTGAAGTGGATTTCCCCCCAAGTTGGTGCAACGTGCATTAAGGAATTCTCTAAGAACTTTGCAGGAATTATACCCCCCATATTATTCCCATAATTACACTTTATCTCCCTGCCCCATCCCTGTTTCTCCCTCACTTGCACTGAAAGTGCTGGTTTATTCAATAAACAGTGCCTGCCCACATGCCTCGCAATTGGAGCTTTGTTTTAGAAATAATGCTTTTTGATGCACAAACACACACACACACACACACACACACACACACACACAGACATACACACACACATATAGAAAAAGATCAAAGCTGACGGAAGTTCCAGATGGCAATTACTACCCCCCAAAACTCTGGAACACTCCCCCTCAATCCCTCTGCATTAACCCCTCCTTCCCCCTTTTCAGGCCACGTCTGAAGATACTCCCCTTCCACCGTACTACCCCTGCCCCCCCCCCGCCCCATGGCTCAGTCTCGTGCTCCACCGCGGTCAATCGCTCTGAGACGATACCCTGCGTGCGGGGCGCTACACAAAGGCAAGTTGTTGTTGTTGTACTTACAAAGAATTCGAAAAATATATCGGTGTCGGGATACAGGTACTCAAACGAGACGGTGCCCGGCTGTTTCAGGTACACGGAGTACATCAGGGTCGCTCTGCACTCGTCTGTGTTGGACGCTATGAAATCGGTTTGAAGAGTCCACTTGGACCTGGTCAGGTCGCACAGAAGAAAGAACTTCCTAGATCAGGGTGGTCCAACTGGCGATTTCATCCAGCCACCCGCCCCACCACCCCATCCCCTCCATCAGTCCCTCCATTTCATCTGGCCCACCCACTCCCTACATAACCCGTATGAATAGGATGCAATGTTTCTGCAAGGGAAACACACAAATATTGCTTGTGCGGCCCACGAGCATTTCTCAAGAAGGTTGGACCACCCTACATTAACAAGTTACAACTGCTGACGTCTTTCAGATTGGTTTCCAGGGAACTTAGGGTTCTGAATCCCCTGAAACTCTCGGGATCTTAAGAGGCTGTCCCCTCTCAATGTTGATCTGATTGTAATCCAGAGCGTCGTTCACTACTGCAGCTACGGGTGAAATTTGCCGATTTGGCTCGTGCCTTCTGCAGACGATAATCACTGTCAGGGGAGCATGGGTTTTTAATCTCGGTTGAAATCGCCTGCCTTCAGCCTAGCATCTGAAACCTCCTCTGCTCAGGGTGACTCGGTGCTCTGCTGAGCAGAACATTTGCTCACGAGGCAACTGAGAGCAGCCGTTTCGTGTTTTAATGCAAGAATCTAATAACTTGCTCGCTTTGGCTGAGTGCAACAAATGGCTGAGCTTCATTAAGTGGTTCCCAGTTCTTTTTGGCTTACAGCGCTCCGAGACACTTTTCTGGGCGAAGGGCGCTACATGTAAGTGTAAGTTGTTGTTGTTAATGTTTGCAAAGACGCATTAAAGTCAGTCGGAAGGAATCTATAAGGTCTGCCTTACAGACTGGGTTGGACTTGGACCTCTGGAACATCAAGGTGGTTGTCATGTCATGTTCGATCGACACTTCGTGCTAAACGCTACTGTACGTCTACGCAAACCTTAGCGTACTTACGTGGTACAGTTCTCGAACGCCTCAGTAAATTCATCTGACATGTCTTGAGTTGTGGCTTTGTTGATGAACCCTGGTGGCAGCTCATCCCACTGACTGAATTCGACGCCAGTCCCCAGAGAATAAGTGCCAGCAATACACGCTTTACACGACTGGTTCCTCATGTCCAGGAACTGACCGGCTCCACAGGAAAAGGCTACGCCATCAAACCAACAGAGACAAACACGAGCAGCGTTAAAATGTCACAAAAACCCGATAAGGTCCCAAAATGAATATATACTGTCCAGATTCTTCCTGAAGAAGCGGGAAGGTATGCGATAAAATCTGTTTCGCATTGTATTTCATTGTAGAGTGTAACTCCTTTTGTCTTCTGCAGACTATAGTCACTGCTGGGGAGCGAGAATTAAATCTGGATAAAAACGCCCCAGAAATCTCAATCAACAGAAAATCACCAAATCACGAGATTGATGGGGAAGAAGACGGCCTTTGGTCTATCTGATCTCATGCCTCCAGAACACCCACCCTACCATTGACCCATCACAGCATCAAGATGCTTTTTTTAAAAAAATGCTTCCACTGTCCTGGCCCCCATCCAACATGTCACAGAGAATCGCTGTGCGCAATTGCCTCCTGAGTTTGGCCCACAAAATATACAGTCACTCTACTTTACGGTATATTCTGTGAAGCGCTTTGAGACGTCTCAATAACGTGATCAGGTGCTGCATCAAATGCAAGGATCATTTTTATCATTAGAATTGTGGCGTATTCTGAAATTTCTGTCCTAATTTGTCAGGTGGTTCTTTATTAGATACTGCTGTGAAGTGCTTTGGGATGTCCTCCTGACGTGAAAGCCGCTATAACAAACGAGGATTATTTTTGTGATTTATTGCTTGATTATTTAAACCAACAGCATGTCAATTGAGCACTCTTGTAGCTCGCGATCAATGTTACAATAGTAAATCTGTTCTCGTGTTTGAGTAGTTTTTTTTGTTTTTACACACACACACACACCACACACACACATGAACGTGACAGCTGAAATCTGGCAGAACCAGTCAGCCCGCGAATCCAGGTGTTTCTGTCGAACTGCCAGAGATATTGGGCTTTAATACTTTAACAGGGAAAAACTCATTGCTTGACTCATGTGGCTTATAAGCAAATCCAGCATCAAAGAGGCTACGCAATCAAATGAACTTAGCGATAACACTTCATGACCAACTGCACCCAAACTGCTGTGGCGAATGCAATTCTCTGTGTCAATATCAGCGAATATGCAAACAGTGGTGCAAATTTAATGGATCTGGAGACAGATGGCTGGAGGGAGTTGTGTGTTGAATATACAAATATCCAAGTCGAATTCAAATAGAAGTGACTCACAGCATTCTCTGCCTTTGACAGGATCTGGCAGTCCAGTGCAGGTCCCTGGATGGTGAGGCACAGCGACTCTCCACCGGGAGCCAAGGCTGTCACAGTCTGTGTACTCATAATAGTAGTCCATCTGAAAGAAACCAGAAATATTCTGCATTATTACAATAATAAAATAATAATAATCCTTGCATTTGATACAGTGCCTTATCACGTCTTCGAGATGTCTCAAAGAGGGTCGCAGAATATACTGTCAAGTGAATTGATTGTCTATTTTTTTGTGAGCGAAACGATATGGGCCGAAGGCCTTATCCACCCAAATCTCTCTTGTGAGTCAGTTGCCAGAAGGGGACAGAAGGACAAAGAGAATGGAGAGGTATGAGAGAGGAGATTAGGAGGGTAGGAGTATTGAGACAGGTAGTGACTATTTGGACCTAATGCCCCTCTTCTTTGCTGAAACCTTCTGTGTAATTCTACATAAAGAGGATTGCGAATCTGTGGAGACCAGGGCGGAGAGCAAACATTATTTCTAATCTCTGTTTTTACCAGACCCCTGCTTTTGTCCAGTTCGGCAATCATGTCTAAAACTGGATTAACCGAGTAAACTTAGGTTGTAGATGGCTTTCAGGGTTTTAATGGCCTGCTTCACACCCTCACTAAGGCCTCCATGCCTTAATCTTTGCCAAAAGGCCTAGCCAGCCGTGATTACTCTCAATCTTCTCTTCAATTAAGACAGGTTACATTCTTTGAACTTCTCATCATCACTTTGAGCGTTACGAGGAGAAATCCCACAATCAACCTTGCTTACTCTTCTTTGAAGTCTCTTTATAACCTTGCATTAAATACAGCATCTTATCACGTCGTTGAGACGTCTCAAAGCACTTAGCAAGATTTACTGTCAAGCGTAGTGACTGTATTTTATAGGTGAATGGAATGAATTGGAATCTACCTGCTGACTGACTAACAACGATTGATACAGTCTTGGTTCCTGGCGATAGGATCAGATCTCGTCAAAATGACTTGTTTGCCTGAAACCCAGAGCTGTGGCAATCAGAGCATGAACGGAGGAGGCACTTGATCAGGCAGAGACACTTTGCAACCAGGGTTTTTTGGGGGGGAGGGAGGAGGGGAAGACCATCTGGTGCAATAGAGCACATCAGGGGAGGACGAAAGTGAGAAGATGCAAATATTGGGACAAAAATGCAGTAGGCGCAGTCAGGTAAACCCATTCATTTGCAAATGGAAGGACTGTTCCGAAGGAGAATTAACTTGCAAAGCAGAGGTGCCTGGTAACTCACTGTAGACCGTAATTGAAGAGCAAGCACCCATCTGGGACAATCTAACAACCAACGCAATATTCTGTTAATGTATCTGTTAAATATGCTGCTTCGCACTGAGTAAAAGAGGCAACGACAGGCCCTATTTGGGAGAAAGTCAACGATAACATTCAGTAACAGCGAGGCAAAAGGTCAACCTGCCCTTTTTGTGAAAATCCGGCTGTTTTGAAATATTTATTTTTGAACCCGCCTTCACTCTTATCTTGTTCTCATCCATATGTTACAGCAGCTGCCACCGGCTTATTAAAGTGTGTTCCACAGCGGCAAAGACCTGTGCCTCCGGGCTTTTAATGATTTACGAAAGGTTTTCAGTTTGTAGCTAAAGCTGAACTCGTTAAACTGTGAACACTTCGCCAGCACTCCCCATTACATGTCTGACCACAAAACACACAGTCACTGCACTTTACAGCATGTCCTGTGAAGTGCTTTGTGACGTCCTCCTGACGTGAAAGGCACTACAGCAAGTGCAAGGAATATTTTTTATTATTCACTTGACACAACACAACTGCATTTGTACTGTCATCTGTAAAGGGTACTTCGATATGACTAAAGCTAAAACACAGTACACATAACCTTTTTTTTAAAAGGCAAACAGGTGCATTTATTTGGATTGATTATATAATGCCTCAATCATTCAAACAATATGGCTTGCATTTCATATAGCGCCTTATCCCGCTGTCGAGACGCCTGAAAGCGCTTCGCAGGATACACGGTAAGGTGGATTGACTGTATATTTTGCGGGCGAAATGAAAGGCGCTGAATATTTATCATTACTGAGAACTATTACCTTTCGTGCAAATCAAAGCCGGATGTGGAACTCCCACAGCAGGGCTAATTTAAAGATAATACATGAGCGTTCAAGTTGATAAACCACCGCACAGAGCTTTTGTTTTCTTCAAAGTTGAACGAACAATACAGGGCAGCACAACACATGTGCTGCACTTTTGTTGCTTATCAGTCCAGAACAACCTGCTGACATGGACTTTTCCCCAGAAAAAAAGGACGGCTTGCAAAAAAAAAAGACTACTTGCCAAAGTTTGCAGCATCTGGACAGTATCATACTCGTTCTACAGGTTTGCCTACAAATACACCATTGCCCCACTTGACAACGGTTACCTGCGAAGCTCTTTTGAAAAGTTTTGTGGTTTCAACTGGTTAGACTCCAGCAGTTAGCCCAACGCACACTTTAATCCACTTTACAATACAATCTGTGAAACGCTTCGAGCTGTCTCAATGATGTGATAAGACGCTATATCAAATGCAAGGATTATTATAATAATTATTATTATTATTACTACTACAGAGGGCTGAAGGCAAGCCATTCCTGTCAAGTTGCTTTGCCCCCTCATGAATAAGTCATGGTGGAGGTTTGGAGATCCGATATAAATATAGCTGTTGGTTAGGTGCACAAGAACAAGTAGTAACTGATAAGAACAGATTGATCTTAGCAAAGAGGCCAAGAGGGCAGGAGACCAAATCGCAAATCATTCCAGATTTAAAGCCCACGGCAGCTAAGCTGTTAAGTAACAAGTAAATACTTAATTGCGAGCACCTAAATTAGGATAAGGAGGGGGTTTGGTAAGCTGGGTGGGTCAATGGCTCCAATATATTTGTAGTTCATTAGGTCCTAGATTATGATGTTCATTATTTTCGAAGACAACTTTCAGTTCCCTTTACACAGTGACGCATTGGCTCAATAAATGACTGTATAAAAGGATCTGAAAGTAGTTTGAAGCTGGCCAAACCTAGTTAGTAAACCATGAGTCGCCAAAACCTGTTATCTATTCAACAGAGTGGTTTAGATATTCCAATTCTAAGCACCTGAAACAACAGACGTTCTGGAGGGAGTTTTAATGCTGTAAATCCATTGAGTCTCTGCTGACGTGAGAAGTCCATCACCAGAACTCAAGGTTTTTTTTTCTATGCATCTATCTCTGCTCTTCTAAGAATTTTATCGCACCGTCCTTGCAGAGGGACAAAAGATAAGAGTTAAGGAAACCACACAAGAAAGGAAATCTTGAAGGGGTGACATTGAGGCCGCTCTTTGGGACCCGGAGACCATTTTGTCAACACAGCATTTAAGATCGACAACAACAACTTGCATTTATATGGTGCCCTTCGCCGTAAGGGTATCGGAGAGATAAAAACTTTTAAATCCAATCTGACTTGTGAACCTTTTTTTTAAAAAAAATGAATTATGGAAAAACGATTTCAGAATAAAGAAGCCGTCTTAAATTTTAGGACAAGTAGATTTTGCGGGCAGAGATTAGAAGGGATTTTGAGCTTTTTTTGTGTGTGTGTGTTTGTGTGTATAACGTCCTTGAGATGTCTCAAAGCGCTCCCGTATACCTTAAAGTGAATTGACTGGATATTTTGCAGGCAAAGTGCAATTACACACAGCATTGCCCCACAGACAGTCTTGGATTGAATGTCCGTACTGTGTGTTTTTGAAGGGATTATTACCCCCAGAAAAGCAA